GCTGGTTTGCATTTGGAAGGCTTCCGGTGTCCATTAGCAAAGAGATACGCCAGAATGAGGAAAAGCTTTCCTAGGCATTTTAGATTATGAGTCCATTACCATACAGATCTAGTTACAAACGCATCCTTCAAGTAGACTATAATGCAAAGAATAAAACTGCCTTCACCTCAAACAGAGGAGATAAGCTGCATCCTGGAACACAGGTTAAGTTTCTGGGGCCCAGTAAAGTGTATCTCAGCTATTTGTAGTTTAATGAAACCAAACAATGATTAGTTCCTGCCCACATATCATTTTGTTAATCAGGGGTTCTGGGGACAAGACCATTAATTTCAGTCCTAAGAAGCCACACTGGACTGTGCCCGGCACAGGCACATTGATTTTTTTCACTAGTAGGAATTGTCGATGTGGCTTTAGAGTCCTCACTCTGAGCATCATGATTTAGAATGATCTCATCTCCACAGTGACTCGTTTACTCACCCTAAATTTAAGCTTCTTTTCTCTCCTTTTCTGTCTTTTTAATAGGCTTAAACAAAATGGCTATCAGTCTCTGACTTCAGTGATTCCTACCATCAACCAGTCAGACATTTTCCTCATTTCTCATCATCACTGTATGATATCAACCTTGTACAAGTCTTGGCCAATGGCCATATTAATTTTCTACTTGAAAGAACACAAATAGAATACTGCTTATGACGAAGGTAGGAGGGGGAGCTTGGGGAATAGCTGTTAGTCTTGATGCATAGCAATTAGCTTTGCAAATAGAAACAGTAACATGATTGGACCTGATACCTAGCCAAACTGCCAAAGGGGGGGAAAATCATTCTGTTGGGGGTCCTGAGTGACTTTTTAAATAGTGGCTACATTTGCCTTTTTGGAAATGGTACGAGCAGTGTGACATCAGAGATCTTCAGTTTCCATGGTGACTATTAGTGATGGCATTTCAAATGTTGTGGTTAGGTTCCACGATATCCCATGAGAGAGGGAAGAGAAAGCACTGCTTCATTTTAACATTTTTAAAGGAAAGAATGCTGATTATCCAAGTAGATACGATCTGTTCATCTTAAACATGTGGGCTGATAGAAGCTACACGAGTAAGCTGGTGAGAGATACTAAAGCACTTGGACTTGATAGGGACTAATTAACTGCTTAGGTATTTAGCAGCAATTAACTGTCATTTTCCGTCTACACATTATTTTATAAAGTGGTTGTTCTTATACCACGGATTTACCCACTTTTTACGTGTAGGGAAAGTAGTGTAAGTTGGGAGAAAAACTTAGCCTTCCGCTGCAGTTAAGGACAATCTCTAGGGTGAAGATGGAGAGCTGTCCAGCCCAATATGACATCCCTCACAGGCAGGCAGCAGTGCGCACTTCTCTCTGCCCGCTCGGCCCTGGGTCCCTTGCACATAGGAGACTTAATAAATACACTTAGTGATTTTGATGTCGATGAAGCTGAACATTTCATTTTTGCTTTGTTTAATTTCCCATTTAGAGCTGACGGTTAATTTTAAAACACTCAGTTTACTTACGAAGAATTACATGTAGTTAATAAAAATAGAATAAGCAAAAGTCTAAGAAAGTGCTTCATTTCACTCCGATAAACAAGGAAGTTTTTAATTTTCTCATGTAGATGTAAAGTTAATCTTTTAAAAAAGATAAATCAGTTATAAACTTTATATAATACCAGGTATTCTTTTTTTCTATTAAGAATTGTTTTTTATCTGTTACTTCAATATATTTTGTTTATAGAAGGTATATACTAGTTTTTCTGACTAGTGATTTAAATCAGATCTACTGTGTAGTTAATACTGTCTAGAGCCAGAATCAAAGATTACAAATCTAAGTAACGGAGAAAATCTGCTGGCATGATGAAAGGAGGTCATAATGAATCAGAATGTAATTTAAAAACAAATTCTACATAAACGCATTCTTACAGTCACAGCAACCAGAATGATAAATAAGCTGCCTCTCTCTGACTCAAGCTACTAGTTACGTGGGGACAGAATATTTAGGCCATCACTGGGTAAGAGTGTTACAAAAGCCCAGAGCAAGAATGGATATACACATTGATGACAAAGTCAGAAAAAAAAAGTAGGACATTTAGGTCACAAAGTACCATCAGTCGTGATGAAGTTAACAGGCATCCACAAATCACTGATAGGACTGAGCCACCTAAGGTAAACTTTATTTTTATCATCACATACCCAATCCACAATGAGACTGAGATCAGTTACTGATGAAATTAAAGGGTATCCTGTCACTGTTTCAGAAAAGAATCTACTTACAATGTAAATGTAAACAACTGGCCATGTGGAGAACTTAAATAAAGACACTAGGGGGCAGAATTCCAGACTGTTAGAACTGTAAAAGATGATGTGAATCACATGTTTTTAGTAAGAAAATAAAGGTCCATGAGGATCAAGTGAAATTATCCAAGATCACAAAAGCTACTGTCCATGCAGAAATGGAATCGTAACCATACCCTGCCTAAGTGTCTCTTCTTATGTGCTACCTCTAATGGCATATTGTGAATGACTGCAGCACACAAATACCAGTGCTACCACAAAGAGACCTGCATTCTAAGAGTCAACTTATGGAGAGTAATTGTTTGGCATTTTATAAAAACCAATTAAAACACACACACACACACACACAACCACTGTACTTAAATAAATTATGTAAAAGTGTATGACTATCTAACTACTAAGCAGTATACCTAAAACCAATACAAAATAAAATTGAAAGTAAACTGTTAAAAAAAAAAGAACCAAAGTCAAAATGAACAAACATGGAAGGAAAAAAACAACAACATAGAAAACATGTGAAAATAAACACTTCAAATTTGCCTTCCTTGAAGTTCTGAATAATGGACATCTCAGATGTCTGATTCAGAAATTTAAACAGAACAGTAACATATTAGTAAATCAGATATCAAATGCATCATACACAGACAAAAGTCCTAGCTTTTTCATTTGAAGGGTGACCAGATTTTGAGTCAAACAGAAAGTCAAACCCCTACGTGGTTTCCCCAAAAGCAAGCAATGTGGGGCATACAGGCCACAGTGACAGCAGTACCACTTTCTTCCTCCCACAGAACTCACTTAGTTCTTCCAGGGCTGTTCCTCAGGCCAGAAACCCACTGACCAAAAGAAACCCCGTAGGGAAATCTAGTAGTTCCTATTGTAGGTGCCGATAAGGAGAAAGGCTCTTCCCTGTTATTCTAAAAAGTCTACAAGTAGATGATCTGAAATTGAGCTATTATTTAGATTATGATAAAAAGCTAGAAAGAGTACAGATGCTGATTTCCATTAGATGCTCATAAAAAGCAGAAACTGAGGCTCTTATGGGCAACTGAATGTGACCTCAGGCAAGTCAGCGGCCTTTCTTCCTTGCATGTATTATTTCTAAAAAGAGAGATATCATGAAGCCAAATGAAATAACACGCAGAAGTGATAGAGTACCGATGCTCTCAGTTTTAAGACTGATTAGGTTTCCCACAGATACCAGAAAATCATGTAATTGCGTATCAGCCTTTAAGAGTGCAGGCACGGCCAGTGTCACAGGCAGTACCCTTACCTTAATGATCTGGAAGAGGATATTACATTTGGAAGAGAATACTAAAACCCTACTACTCAAAGTGCATTCTGAAAAGAATCAGCTTGGGTGTCACTGGGAGCTGGTTAGAAATGCTGGCTCTCAGGCCCCACTGCAGACCTAACGAGTCAAAATCTGCATTTTAACAAAATCTCCAGGTGATTCCCAAGCACATGAAAGCGTGAGTGCTGTACTGCAGACACTGACAGTGCCCGGAAAAGAGGCCACTGAAATTTCAGATGATCGCTGCCCTTCAGATACATATGGAGAATGAGCTCTGAGTTGGTTTGGCCTTTTCCTGGTACCACCAGGAAAAGCTGACTTCTGGTCAACTACAGATTAAACCATTGAGAGGTAATCATTTGTTACCACATATATCAGTATCAATCATGTGAGCCTCATTTAGTTCATTTAGTTCCCTCTTCTTTAGTGGGATTAAAGATAACAGAAAAAAAATTATAAAGCTAGCCATGTTAACAAGTGCTTTATTAATCTGTCTGGATAATGCCAAAAACCATGGCCAGAATAAATGATTAAGTGAGCCTGGGTCATTACATTTCCATAATTATAATCATTAAAAGTTAGGCAAAGGTATTGACTTACTGATGGGCAACAACTTACTGATTAAAAAAAAAAACACCTCATTTCAACTTTCATTTTCAGAGAAAAGAATATTTTCTTAAAAGGAAATAATCCGCCTTTAGAATGGAGTAATAAGAAAACAAACACTGGAAGAGAAATAACCTACATTTTGATCATGGCTTTCACCATGTTAGCTTCTTAATGGGAACAGCAATTTGTGTAGGGATATAATACCAAGAAGCAAGTGTGAAAGGGCGCTACATTACTTCTTGTCCCACTCATCTACAATGTCCTTTTCATGCCCCTTCCCAATGACCTGCCGTCCTAGATCAGGAATGGAGAATCCACACAGCGCAAGCTCTTCCCCAAGAGCAAAGTCACTGCGAACGGTATTTAAGGAGCAGGAAACTCGGCCTTTTAACATTTTGTACTGGCAACTGAGATTCTATTTTAATTTCCTGAACAACAATATTGATAATCTCCACACTGACTTACATTTTTCTTGGATCCATATCACCAAACTTCATTTCCCAGACAAAGTAACTGGGCACAAAGCACAAGAGAGGAGATGAACACGATGACTAGTGTGACAGACAGCGAGGAAGACAGCACACTCAGAGACGGGCTGCTCCTGAACGCTCTATTCCAGCAAACTGCTTACAGGAGTTTTCTTTGTGTTTAAGCACAGGTATTTCACTACTCAGTTTTGTCCCATTTTGAACATAAACAGGCGCAAAAGAGGCCTGGGGTAGTTTTAATTGTGGTACCAAGTTAAAAACGTGAACGAGTCATGAACTTTGCCCTCACCAGCCCCACCCCCCTTACCTGATATAACAGCTATTTTCCCAGACCCATGTTCTTCTCTAGCTATTCTTTCTGCTTCCTCCATCAGCAGCATGCCAAATCCCTATAAGGAGCAATAAAGAGGGTGAGTGAATTAAGGAGAAAAGAAGTCATTAAGGGAATCTATAAAACAAGAAGGCTAATAATTAGTATTTGCTAAAATCTGTTAAAATAAGAGTGACAGAAAGAAACCCACTTATGAAAGTAAGGAAAGAGAAATCTTTTAATTATACTGAAAGTACACTACAGCAGGCTAGTGGGAGGGAAAATAAAAAAGGAATAACTTTGCAACAAAAGCCAAAGGTATTTTGTGGCTGATGTAATCTACTCACAGCAAGGGGGTGAATACTTTCATTTCTGTCTCTTTTTGAACAAGTTCTAGGCAATTTCAAGGTGATGAAGTCTAGGGCATCTAACCTGTATTTATTAGTCACCCCTCCAATTTCTAAGAGGCTTTGAGTGCTAGTCTGCTTAGCCTAGCACTTAGTCAAAACTACCAGGTAATATTCTTAAAAAGAAAAAAGATTTTAGAGAGAAGGGAAGTGGGAGAGAGGAGGAGGGAGGGAGGGAGGGAGGAGGTGGAGATAGAGAGAGAAACACTGATTTGCTGTTCCACTTATTTATGCATTCAATGGTTGATTCTTATATGTGCTCTGACTGGGGGTGGAACCCACAACCTTGGTGTATCAGGATAATGCTCTAACCAACTGAGCTACCTGGCCAGGGCCCCAGGCAATATTCTTAATTCACTAATTTTGGAGTCTATGCTAAATCTACCACTAGTGTCTTTAACCCATTTTCCTAAAACTTAAAAAGTGAGTTTTTTATTTATTTAAGTTGTTTGGGGGGAGTGGAGCAGTGTTCCAATATATATCATATAACTCGCATTTATGAAGTGCTTTAATACTTCTTAAGTGCTTCCACATTATCATCTCCTTTGATGCCATAATAGTGGATCATTCAAAACTGCCAGGATTGGACCATTTCTGACTTTCAAAAACAGTAATTTCATATCATTCAACCTAGTATAATATTCCATTTGCCTGAGTCTCACTTTGTCTCTTGCTCCTCCCCCATACCCAAAAGTGGGCAATTTGAAGAGAAGACATCTCTGAACAGCTAAAATATTGGTTCCTGTTTCTATACTTCCCTTTCACCTTTCTCTGGGTCTTCCTCCCATTCCAATTTTCTTTCCCTCCTTGGGGGAATTTCTTAAATAATTATGGTCAAATAGAAATGAAATACAGGATACCTGATGCTGAAACTTCGTAGGATCCCGACTGCTCACAGGGACTACACTCCCATACACATGCAACTCTCGGACTATGGAAACACCTCCGACCAATTCAAAACGGAAGGTTTCCTCTGAACACTTTCGTAATCGCAGGAGGCCAATCAAAATGTCTTGATCTGGGTCTTCGTATGATAAGAATGTTTCCCAGCCACCATTTGCAACATAATCTCTCCTTACCAACTCAACCTGTTAAATAAAACAACAACAACACAAAATCAACAAACAAAACCGCATTTTTTAAAAATTAGAGAACAAAGTTCATTTTTATAAATATGTGTATTTACTTAGACTAATATCCACAATTAAGGATAAAAAATAATCACGAATTATTTCTTTTTACTTGTCCAATCTTGAACATCAATTAAATCAGAGTTCATGCATTGTTCATGAACTGTTTTTCCTCCTAGTGAGTGCCAGGGCCACTGATCACTAGCTACCCAGATACCAAAAAATTATGCTTCTGAAATCTCTTGATGTTGATTCCACATGTGGAGCACTCAAACTGCTCTACGTGTGCCACTCATGAGAGAAGCCCTTTCTGATGTTCCTGAACTATTATAAAAAACAGACAATTTTACAGTTTCATGAACATTTGAACTTCATTAATCTTGAGATTCTTACAAATATCTGGCTTAGTAAATGCTTCCATGCAGTTAAATCTCTGCTGCTCCATGAAGAGTCTCTAAGGTAAAATTATACACTATGCCACATGCATAGTTCTTAGGAGAATCCCTTGGCCCCAGAACTTTCAGATGCTCAATGGTTTAACTTTCTAGTTCTTCCTCCATTAAAACACTCTTTTGGGGGGAGGGGTATGTGTCAGTGTCACTTGTTCCCTGACAGCATCCCATAGGGCCTTAAATTATTATGTCTAGTTATGAGATTAATACATTAAAGAAAATTCAATCACTGGAAGAGTGGCTTTTTGGAGGAGACTTCTGTGGTAGCAATCTACATAGCTTTTGATTCAACTCATTGTTCAAGTGCCCTTGTACTTTGCATAAATATAAGCAATATGTAACAACATACATACACAGAAAAGCCAAACCTACGTATGTGGGCATCAGGCTCAAGTTTTGTGGAACCCCTGTCTGCTGGTAAGGGCGAATCTATTCATTTGATTACCTCCAATGGGCAATAATTTAACAGCTGCACACAATGAGATGAGCAGATCCCATCCAGCTTTACCTGAATATAGCCACTAGTCACATGTGGCTATTTACATTTGAATTAATTAAAATTAAATAAAAGTAAAAACTCAGTTCCTCAGCTGCACTAGTCACCTTTCAACTGCTTAATAGTCACATGTGACTTGGCAGATGCCACACTGGATGGCAGGTTATAGAACATCGCCAGCACTGCAGAGTTCTATTGCACAGTGCCGGTCCAGAATGAAGTTCAGATTTGGTTTTCCTAACCTGGCTCTTCTAGAATTCATCCCCTCATACTTGGCTCTTTCCTGGCTTGACATCTGTATCTGATCCACAATTACTCTTTGCTCATAGTTTACTCATTAACTTTGAGGATCCAATCCATTGGTAAGAAGATGTGGGTTCAGGCTTGACAGAAAAAGATTTATGAACAGGACCCAATCTCTCTATAAAATGAAGAAACTAACCTGATACGGCCGTACTTTGTGATGAATTTCTTGAATTCCAACCTCTCTGGTTCTCACATCTCGACACTGGGGAGAAAAAAAAAAAGTGAATGAGGGAGCAATTATAAAATTGGTAACTAATTCAATTTTTATTGAAACCACTCCACAAACCCCAGGCTCAAAATTAAGTTTGGATACAATTTACATTGAGATAAAAGAAGTGCACTAAAAAATGAAACCATCTTTAATAAATCTGAGGATGGGAACCATGGAATGAAAATGTATAAAGTGAGTGCAGTACAGTACTGCTTTTAAAATAAGTTTAGAATTCAAAAAAGATCGATATATAATGTAATATTGGAAGTAAAGAACATACATCCTAAAACCTGATAACGGTTTTACCCAGGGGATATAACTGTATTTGAAAGTGCAATCCAAAACTATGTATATAGAAGAGTAAAAAGCAAATTCCTAACTTTTAAAAACTCTCTCCTCTTTATGGCAGTTAATATTTTTAGCATCATCATATCTGTATCACTTTGGAAATCTTGTCAAAAAGAGGGATGCTGAAGAGTGCTGGTTTTTGTTGTTGTTTGTTTTGCAGAGAAGGGCACTGCAGAAGAAAGGATGGGAGGGCGGGAGGAAGGACAGAAGAAAAAAAGGGGTGGGGGGAAACTTTCTAAAAAATAAAATAAAAAAGGGACCTAGACTCATTTATTATATAACCCGAACTCCAGTCACAAATGGCTCTAGTGCAGTGATGGCGAACCTTTTGAGCTCGGCGTGTCAGCATTTTGAAAAACCCTACCTTAACTCTGGTGCCGTGTCACATATAGAAATTTTTTGTTATTTGCAACCATAGTAAAACAAAGATTTATATTTTTGATATTTATTTTATATATTTAAATGCCATTAAAGAAAAATCAACCAAAAAAATGAGTTCGCGTGTTACCTGTGACACGTGTGTCATAGGTTCACCATCACTGCTCTAGAGTCCAGGGAGGCACGGAGTTGCCTGCAGATATGGATGCAATGTCTGGTCTGCATAGCCAAGCATCTATGATGCAACTCTCACTTCTATTCCACATGCTCCATGGCCTGACATTTATAATTACAAATCCATAAAGTATTCAGTTATAGGTCTTATGGCCTATTTCCCTACAGAATAAACTGTAAGACTTATTTTCAGGGTTCTAACATTTTCTACCAGTGAGGAAGATCACCCTAGGAGATTTGATGATGTCATTCATGCAAGCTAAACCACCAACAGTGTATTTACGAAGGACTGCTAGATATGGGTAAAATTCCATAAGAAACACTAAAAGCTGCATGCCCCAGGAACCAGTCCAAAACAGTAATACCTTGCTAATGTGGATTCCATGAACTCAAAAACTGTATAGCAAACAAGGATGACAAGTCTCTGTAATTATAAGTCTATTACCTTTGTATGTTGTCTTTTAACTACAGCAGTTCTATATAGTAACTTGCATGTGAATGTACTATATTTACATGACCTTAATGATCGCCTGCATGCTATTGGGTTTTTTGGGGTTGGTTTTTTTTTTTTGTGGGAGTGGGGAATGCTTTTTAAAAGGCAGAGATTGGTATTTGCTTAATTGCTGGTATAGACATTGCCTCTGTGAACTAGATGTCTTTTGGCTATGACTGAATTCCAGTCTTTAGACTCAACCCCAGTTACTGAGAGGCTATCAAGGTTTATGAGGGTACAGGGCTAAAGACAATGGGTGGATGATAAGGTTATCAGGATAACCAGGCCAGGTCAGTCACTTTTAGTGGTATTTTCAAGAGAGAGAGGAGGTGGAAATGAAGAACAGCTGAATGGGAAGCAGAACAGACCTACAATCCTGTTTGGTTTATTAATTATTGCAAATACGTGAGCTGATTTTCTAGAACTTAAAATCATTTAATTTGGGGAGGAGGATAGAATAAGCCAATAATGTTCACACACTCTCCTCTGCACAATTTTCTGAAAAGTTTTCTCCACAGTAATTTGGCTAAGAGAATAGAATGCCTTGGGTAAGCCTTCAAACATGATACAAGGCCCTCAAAGTGCAGTCCATGCTTACATTGTGCATGAGGACATTCACAGCCCCAAACCACACCTAGTGAGCCAGAACCTCTGAAGGCAGAGCCCAGGAACCAGTGCTCAAGCCAACACCACTCCTGGCCTTTTCTCTTGAGCAATTCAGTTCTAAGAAGTAGTTTCTAGGGCACTGATTTTAAATCTCATAATACTTTAAGTAAGAATCACCTACAGAGATTTAAATTGCAGATTCCTGGGCTCTTTGTACTTCTAGGGCCTGCAGAAAGGAAGTGCTTAGTAAACATCTGTTCACTGGGTGTGGGATGGGGCTGTGAATGTCCTCGCGCACAATGCAAGCAAGGACTGCACTTTAAAGACATCGGTTTGAGGGCCTTGTATCATGTTTGAAGACTTACCCAAGGCATTCTATTCTCTTAGCCAGGTTGCTACGGAGAAAACTTTTCAGAAAACTGACTGAATAGATGCGAGGGTGGAGTGGGATGAGGAGACTGTTGTATGTGGCAATAGCATTGTCTGGTAATTACTTCACGCACGTAATCCTTGTTTTTCAAACGTCGTATCCTCATATACTGATCTAACCATTAGTCAAGAATCGAACACTCAATACTTCAAAAGAAAAATGTTTTTCAAAAAGTGAGTTAAGTACATAGTTGGCAATCTGGGTAGGTAGAAAAAAAATTACACTCTTTGAGAAGGGAGCAGAAGGGGTGTAAGGGATGGGATGCAGCCTTTGCAACCACTAGCTTCAACTTCAACATGTTACACAGTAAGAATACCTTCAATATTTGAAAGTTCTTTGACCAAACTCCTAAGCTTGTGAGACTATAAAAGTATTTTTGCATTCCAGATTACTTAGATCTCAACAGTTACAGTCAGACTCTTACCTGTATTCCAAGGTCCTTCATTCTTGCGAATGCCAGCTCTCTCAAATTACCGTGCTCGACTCCTGAGCTGACTAAGGGCATTGGAATATCCCTGTAGGAGAAAAAGATCAGCTGTTGTCAAGTATAAATCATTCTTTACAGCAGTAAAATAAGAAGACCTTAAAAAAGGAAAAAAGAAAACAAAAACTCAAACCCAAACAACCTACAATACAAATCAGAAAAGCAGAGGCTGAAGATTCTAAGCAGGGAGCCAGGTTCAGAGCTTCTCTATCCCTCAGTTTTCCCATCTATGAAATTATGATTTTCACCTACCACTCAGGGTTTCTGAGAAACACCTGATAAAAATCACTTTATAAGATTATAAAGTGCAAGCCAAACCGGTTTGGCTCAGTGGATAGAGCGTCAGCCTGCGGACTGAAAGGTCCCAGGTTCGGTTCCGATCAAGGGCATGTACCTTGGTTGCGGGCACATCCCCAGTAGGAGGTGTGCAGGAGGCAGCTGGTCGATGTTTCTCTCTCATCGATGTTTCTAACTCTCTATCCCTCTCCCTTCCTCTCTGTAAAAAATCAATAAAATACATTTAAAAAAAAAAGATTATAAAGTGCAAAATAAATATCTAATAACCATTAGTAATGATTTCTGGCTGAAGAGACATTTGTATTAAACAAAACAAGAAATAAAACTGTTCTGTTTTTTTTAAATCCAATTTTATAGCTAGTGAATGACAAGTAACCAAAAGCCCATCTTATCCAACAACTGGTCTCAAAGAATAATTTTTTTCCGTTTCCCAAAAACCTAAATGAGAAGTGACTCTGTAGTAGGAGAATAATAACTTGCCTAAAGGTGAGAGGAGAGAAAATTGATTTCCTGGCATTAATCTAGTGTAAAGTGCCTGGTATCAAGAAGACTTCAATCAAAAGTTGAAGTTCCATATAGTAACCCCAAACACCCTCTTCTAGAAAAGCAGTTTTTAAAAATCTGAAGAATATGCTCAGCACATCTGCTTTCTATTTAAAGACAAGACCCCAATTTGTTTTGTCTAATATCTGGTAGATTAGAAGAAAGATGCAGAATACACCAATTATCTTCTCTTATTTTTTGCTTTTGAATCAATTTGAGTCTTTTCCTTCTCTTGTTACTTACCCTTTCAAATACTATGTACAATTAGATCCTCCACCCATTAATTCTAATAAGATATTTCTCATTCACTCAAAAGTATCAAAAACCAATCAATTAGCATTAAAAACTATACAGAATAAGTCTATTGGGCTCTGGAAGTCAGTAGTTTCCATAAAGACACTATAAAACAATGACCAGTCAAAATTCTTTAAGATGACTCCCCAGGAAATCCAAAGCAAGAGTAACAACCAAAGTTAAAGTCTTCTCAATGCCCTTTTATACTTTAAAATATGGTATAAATAACTCACAAGTACATATGTATACTTTCACAACTTAAAGTGTAAAACATTGTTATATATGATGTGAAATTAATAAAACCAATGGCAACCACTGTTAGTAGCACACATGACAGACATTTGATTTTTGTTATGCACAGCAAGTTATGTTTTATAAAGGTGCCAAAATACTGAATTAGCAAATACTGAAGCATTGATCCTAGGGAAAATGCAGAATTGGTTTCCTGCAAGTCTTTAGTCACATTTTCTTTAACCGATCAATGCATAACCTTGTTTTATTTGTGTTTCTGTTTAAAGGCACTTCATTTAACATCTAAGTGATTCATTAATATTGCACTCGTGGCCAACAGCACTATAAATTCATGCCTCAGTGAAACCTCTAACCATGTATTTTCTTCATCAGGCACATTACAGCCTTCTTGTGCTTAGGAAACTAGATAGGCAGCACTATGCCTGGGGGCCATTTTAAATAGCAAAATCAACAAAAAGGTAGGAAATGTGTTATTGAATAGACTGTGAAAAGAACACTGTTTACAGCATGGGAGCTGAAACAAGTGCATAGTATCGCACCAATATCCTATTACTCCTTCGTCAACCCTCCAACTACCAGTCTACCACTTACCAGTGACTCCTGTCTGTAGCATCTTCCTATAATGGCTGTCAATGGTGATTATCTATTTCTATCATCCCATCTGTATTTATTAGCTGAGCTTGTATTGAAGGAAGAGCTTCCCCTTTTCCCTATTTATTCGTTTATTTATGAATTCATAGATTCCCATTTTATTCAATGAGATGTAACCTGGTATTAACCCATTTATTTTGTTGCTTAAGTTAGATTTGGCCAGTGGGCATGGATTCAGGCTGGCATTTGAGAATATTCACTTTTCTATTTCAAGGGGTACTATTTCAAGCTTAGTGGTGCTAATATTTGCAATTTACTCATCAAAAAACCTTTAAAAGGATGTCTAGAGATTTTTTGGTCTGAAGTTTCTCACATTCCAGAAGCATGTTTTGGTTGCAAATTGGCATTCCTGTTTAATGCTTTGCAGTGATTTAAATATCACATCGAGGCAGACAGCTGTCAAACAGCCTGTGGGCAGCAGCAGTTTAATGTGGCTCTATCATATGTCTGGACAGAATCTTACATTTAATCACTGACTGCACCCTCAGGCCTGCAATACAGAACCATCTATTAGGTGGTTCATAAAAACACCCAGTAAGATGTTATTGACTCAGCTGTCATAAAGTTAAGAGAGTAAATTAGTTAAGGGGGGGAGGGGGGGGGAAGGGGAGGGAAGGGTAGGGGAAATGGCCAATTAAAAATATCAAGTAATGTATTAGTAAAATATAGCATTAAAAAAAAAGACATCGTGTGTTCACTTGAAATATCTTCCCTTCTACTTTCTTTCCTGTCCCTCCCTCTTGACACTTGTCTAAAAATTAGTTCTTAAAATCTTCGCCATGTACACATTTAGATTCACTAATCAACATTAAGTAGATAGCCTATAATTGGTAAAAGCTGTCATAGGTAGAAATGAAATGGCCAGCCCAGTTGGTATAATGCAGTGATTGAGTGTTGACCTCTACACCGGAAGGTCACTAGTTCAATTCCCGGTCAGGGCACATGCCTGGGTTGCAGCCTTGATCCCCAAGAGGCAGCCAATCAATGATTCTCTGTCATCATTGATGTTTCTATCTCTCTCCCTTTTTCCCTTCCTCTCTCTGATATCAAAACATTTTTTTAAAGAAAGAAATGAAATGGCCAGATTTTCAAAAGGCATATATGACTTTCCATACTATGATTTAAAACAAAAATAAATCAACTATGATTATTAAAATTGTCTGGATTAAACACTCTGGGAGAACCTTTGCCAATGGTTTCTTTCTAGCAAGACATAACTGAATGCTTCCAAATTAGACTAATACCAGTTTTCCACATTCTAAGAATTGTTTTAAAAGTTTATAACTGAAGCCAGAAGAAACAATGCAGAGTCAAAGCCCTGTGACTCTCCTTCCCCAAATCAGAAGGTTTCTCAGCCCTTAACACTGTCTGAACACCTATCTTCCTCTTGCTCAGTTAGATATGAAGCTGTTTTACCAAGCTATTATTAGTGTTAAGTATACCATGTGAACATGGACATGGCTTTTGTGTTCCCTGGTGTTCTTACTTGTGCAGGAGAGAGGAGACAATTCAAAAGACCCCTCAAAGGTAAAGGTAAAATTTATGATTTTTATTTTTTTTTTAGCCATTTCAATAAAAAAGAATCTCCATTCTGATCCAAATTCCATAACTGGCAAATTATCCATAAACAGACAATCGAAATAAGAAGAAACACAAATAACCGGTTACATGGAAAAATATTAATGCTTACTATACCTACAGAAATGCAAATTAATACCCCTATGTAAATGAAATAAAAAATTTAATCATCCACATGTATAGAATTGTGGTAAAACCAGTAACTATTTACTCTAAACTGGTATTATCCTTCTGGAAAAGCATATCAATATAATTAGTGAAAATTAAAACATTCATTTATACTCCTCTTGTTCCAGAAGTATAATAATAATAATAAAATATGCTTAGATCTTTTATCTTACTCTGTTAGATCATACTGTTCTAACAGATAACTTCAACATAAGTAAAAGTTCCGTGTACATGACTCTGACCTGTAGCGGAGGCCAGGATGATTAAAAATTGAAAATAAAAAATTGGAAGCAACCTAAATATCCAACATTAGGGAACAGTTTACTGAATAAAACTGTTCCCAAACTAAAATGCTAGACTACTACGCTACATTAAAATTATAATTATATTATTCTAAGTCTTTAACAAGAAATGCAAATACCATATTTGCCAATGTATAAAATGTACTGCTGTATAAAGATGCATCCCAATTATACAAAGAAGTTTTGGGAAAAATAATGTAAGCCTGTTATTAATACATACATTGAAAGTGATTTTAAAGTAGCTTTATAGAGAAAATATTATTTTGTCCATATAAATATAGCTGGAAATTAAGAAAATATAAATTCTGGATAATTAGTAATATTCTACAAACTGTTGGAAAAAAGTATAAAATCACAAAATTAAAAAAAAATCTATTGGGACAAATGAATGGTGGTACAGAGCAGAAACACATCACACCATACACCTCAACTTGGCAAAAGACAAGTCTAGAATTTCAATGATTACCGATAACAAAAAGCGAGCCTGCCTACCTATCTCTATCTATCTATCTATCTATCTATCTATCTATCTATCTATCTATCAATCAATCAAAGCCTAAGTGACTGTTATGACCAAACAACCAGTCGACCAGTTGCTATAACGCACACTGACCACCAGGGGGCAGATGCTCAATGCAGGAGCTGCTCCCTGATGTCAGTGCACTCCCACAGCCAACTTCCCTACCCCTACTCTGCCAGCCAACCTCCCGCAATGCCCCCCGGCCCCCACCCGGCTGGCCAGCCCCAATCGGGACTGTGCGAGATGCCCCGATCGGCCCCCATCACCAGCCAGTCAGAGGGACCCCACCCATGCATGAATTCATGCACCAGGCATGTAGTATAAAATAAATGTGAATCATTTTTGTGCAGTATATATATATATATATGAAGAAAGCATGTAAGTAAAAGTGGGCAGAAAGTAAGTAGCAAAATATAATTAATTTGA